GGTGCCTATTATTATTATTTATTAATTAGTAGTAGTAGTTCTGTGGTGCTGGAGAAGACTCTTGAGAGTCCCTTGGACAGCAAAGAGATCAAACCAGTCAATATTAAAGGAAATCAACCCTGAATATTCATTGGAAGGACTGATGCTGAAGCTGAAATTCCAATACTTTGGCTACCTGATGGGAAGATCTGATTCATTGGAAAAGACTGATGCTGGGAAAGATTGAGGGCAGGAGAAGGGGGAGACAGGATGAGATGGTTGGTTGGCATTACTGACTGAATGAACATGAGTTTGAGCAACTCTGGGTTACAGTGAAGGACAGGGAAGCCTGGTATGTTGCAGTCCATGGGGTCACAAAGAGTGTGACATGACTGAGCAACTCAACAACAACAGTAGTAGCAGTACTACTACTTCTGATTTTGAACTGTGTTTTTTTCTCTGTCTTTTTTTTTTTTTTCTGTCTTTCTGACTCTTTCTTTCTTCCTGTTTCTCTTTCTACCTTTCCTTCTGTTAGTCTGTTTAGGTCTATGCCTGGGCTGGGAACTCCTTGAGGGCAGGGCAAGAGCTATCTTGGCCATCTGGGTCCCCAGCATTGTCAAGCCCAGGGCCTGATATATAAAACGTACCCAATGAAGGCACCTCTTTTTGCTGGTAAAGTGGTTAAGACTCTGAGCTTCAGGTTTGACCCCCGATCAGGGAACAAAGATCCCACATGCTTCACAGCATGGCCAAAAAAAGAAAAAGAAAAAACAAGTACCCAATAAAGTAAACCGAATCCTGCTCTGTGCCGAACCAGTGTTGGGAGATGCTCGGGACCCAGCAGTGACTGAGACAGCCACAGCCCTGCCTTCTCAGAGCTCACGATCCAGGAGAGGAAATCATTATTTGTTGAATGAATAAGCTAATTTTGAGGTGAGCTTGGAAGACTTGACTGAAATTGGGTGGAGGTATTTGAGGCAGAGAAAACTGCTGGAGCCGAGGTTAGAGGGGGTGGAAAAGAGTCTGAAGAGTTGGGAGGTGATGGAGAGAAGGCTGGAGAGCTCAGCAAAGGCCTGGAAGGCTGTGGAGAGGAACTGGAGCTTTCTTCTCTTGAGGGCACTGGGGAGCCATGGCAGGTTCTGAGCAGGGGAGGGACCATGGCAGGTTTGTGCTTTAGCAGGGCCACTCTTACAGCCTGGCTACCCTGGGGAGGTCGAGGCGGGGGTGATGGATGGAAGGAAGAAGGACATGACTGGGGCAGCAGAACGAGGGGGCCAGGAGGAAACTGGATCAGAGTAGGGGTTGGGGGAGAGGGAGGAGGAACCAGATTCTAAAAACCAGGACGGGAAATTCCCTCCGCACTTTCACTGCCGAGAGCCCAGGTTCAATCCCTGGTCGGAAAAATAAGATCCCAGAAGCCCCGCGCGGCCAGAATAAAATTAAAAAATAAATAACCGGGAGGAAAGTGCCTCGGTCAGCCTGCTTTCCGTGAGGTCAGAAAATGGGCTTGACGGCTCACGCACCACCACGAGGGGGCAGCCGGGACTTCAGGTTTGAATCTCCCAGCGGCTTCTCCCCCAGGGTGGGGAAAACTGCACCTTGATACCGAGGTGTGGAGAGGTTGAAGTTGTCTTCCGGGCCCCAGCTGAGAGCCCCTCTGCTTTCCTGCTCCAACCCACAACACACACACCGATCTTGGCCTCTTGGTTCCCTGGAGCCCCTACCCCACCAGCAAGAGATTATGTCAACACAGTCCGGCTGATTCTGTCCAGGACAATATTTGCCCTCAGGATCTGGGAAGGTTGCTATGGAGACTGGGGACGTGCTGCGGGGCGGGGGGCAAGGCGGGGGTGGGGGTGGGGGAGGAGAGACAGGGTCAGGGGGAGCACCCTCCCTCCTGGAAGAGGGTGAGCGGAGCCAGGCGTCATCTCTGCCTCCCCTCTACCTGATTGAGTCTTGGGGAGTTTATCCCATCCCCACTTGTCTGCGTTCCAAGTCTCTCCCCCAGCCTCCGCACTCTCTCTGGATCAGCTCTGTCTCTGTCTCTGATTATCTCTCTGGATACCGATGCTCTCATCTCTCTGAGTCTCTCTCTCTTTGGGTCTCCATCTCTGTATGTCTCCATATCTCTGTGTCTCTCTAGGTATTTATTCTATCTCTATGTCTCTGTCTCTCTTTGGGTCTTTGTCTCTCTCTTGGGTCCTGTGTTTTTTGTGTTGGTCTCTCGAGGCCCTCGTCTCTGGATCTCGGTCTCTGGGTTCCTACCTTCCTCTGGGTCCTCTGTCAGTCTTTCTCTCTCCATGTACCCCCATCTCTGGAGCGCTGTCTGCTTGTGTCTCACGGGGTCCTGTGAATCTCACTGGTCTCTCTCTGAATCTCCATCCCTCCTTCTCTCTAAGGATCCCTATATTTTCAGCTGTGTCTTTCTCTGACATTCTCTGTGTCAGCCTCTGTCTCTGACATTCTGAATCTCTTTCTCTTTGTGCATGTGTGTCTCTCTCTGGGTTTCTGTCTTTGAGGCCTTGTCTCTCCGCAGTCCTGAATCTCAGGGGGCCATCTCAGCCTCCCATTTCTGGCCTCAGTCCCTCCTCTCCCCATCTCTCTCTGCCTCATTTCTCCTGCACCATCTGCCGGCACTCCAGGCCCCCGCCTGCTCCCCGCAGGCTCTTCTTAGCCGGGCAGCCCCATGGGGGGAGGCACAGGCCCCCCCAGATTCTGCTCCACCATGGCATCCTGAGGTGGGGGGGACACTGCCTGGTCATGGCTAGGGTGGAGGGAACAACAGCCTGGAGACCCGGGACCAGGGAACATGGAGAAAGGGAAACAGACAGACAGACACTCTGAGAGGCGATGGGAAAAGAGGGATGAGAAAGGAGAAAGCTTCAAGACAGGCAAGAAGAGACTGAGTTGGAGGATGGAGCGAGCAAGAGAAATGAGGAGAGAAATGAGAAATGAGGAAGGAAATCCGGAGGGAAGAGAAGAGAAAAGACAGCCCAGCTAACAAGGGAGGAAGATGGAAAAACTGCACTCAGGCTTGGAGGAAAGGAGAAAGAAGAGATTCTTGGATCAAGGGGACTGAAGAGGGGCATGGAGAGAGAAGAAGGGCAAGGGGAGAGGGCATGGCCACTTCTCTGCCTGCAGTTTCCAAAGCCCTGAGCGTGGGGACTGGAGAGGGCCCATGTGGCTACCCCTGTGGCCCTGTTGCCTCCTCCCCAGGCCCTGGGAGACTGTAAAAGCCCCCAGGAGGGCTGAGATGAGCAGGGGGCCAGTCGGGGACCCAGACATCCCTCCTTCCGTCCTCCACACCCACGCCGGACCCAATGCTCTATTCTGCCCACAGGGACTGATGAGGGAGGGGCCAGCCTGCCATCCCCAGGCTCCTGTCCTGCTTGTCTCTCCTCAGGGCCCATCTCTCAGGCTCTCCCTCCCCCCAGCCACTCCATCTCCATCTCTCAAAGTCTCCATCTCTCAGTTTGTATCTCTTTTTTCTCCCTTCCTTGGTCTACTTTCTCTTCCCTGATTTTTTCTCTCTTTCTGTCCCTCTCTTTTTGTATATTTCTCTCTACTTCTCTGTCTCTCGTTTCTTTCTCTCTGTCTCTTTCTCCTGGTCTCCCTCATCTCTGCCTCTTCCTGTCTCTGTTTGTCTCTGCTCTTTCTTGGTCCTTGATTTCTTTTCCTGTCTTTCTCACCACCTCAGTTCCTCTCCCCTGCTTCCCCCTCCCACACCCAGTCTCTTTCCTCCCACTTTCCAGCCTCCCCCCACCTTCCCATACCCAGCAAGTGACCCCAGACCCTCTTGGGACCAAGGAGAGGCTCCCTCCCAATCCCAGCCTCTTCCCCGAGGTGCTGGGCATTCTCAGACTCCTCTCCTCTCCACTCCATGAACCGAGCCTTTCCCAGGACCCAGAGGACGCCAGGAATGTAGGGCAGAGAGCAGGGAGGCCAGCTGGAGGTCAGGAAGCCAGGAGCCCCCAAGTCACTCTCCCTCCCCGAGACTGGTTTCCTTCCAGCCTCTAGTGCTGGATCTCACACCACTCCTTCCTCTCTGCCCCTCCTGGGGCCTCTGGGCCTCAGTTTCTCCTCTGCAAAATGGACAGACTTACCTCTGTCCCATTTATCTTCCAGCTCCCTGGGGAATGTGTGCTCATGAGTGTTACTAGTATGATTAATGTGCAGGAATTGGTTTGCATTCAAGGGGGAAGTGAGTGCTGAGAGCCGGGATTCAGTTTCTAAGCCAAATATTTTCCATATTTTAGGGCAAAGGAAGAGACTGGAAGTGGAGACTGTGAGGAGGTGTCATCAGTGGTGACTGTGACCGGGAGACCACGTGAGGCTGTGGGTTCATGCATGGTGGTAGGAGGATGGTGTGCAATCCTGTGCACAACTACGTGACTGCGGGTGGCTGTATATGACTTGTGAGCGCAAGTGAGGCTGTGATGGAGAGTTGTATGTCTTAGCACTGGGTGTGACTGAGGATGAGAGTGTAACATCCGGAGCTCAAGGGAGTGTGTGTCTTAGTGACACTTGGGGAACATGTGTTGCTGGATTGTGACTGTGGACTCTGTCGGTAATTATGTGAAGCGTGTGAGACGTTGTGTGAGCACGTTAACGAGTGGAGTTGTGTAACATTGTATATATGACTTTCAGACTGTCATGAAAGGATTGTATGACAATCACATATAACTGTTTGCCTTTATGTCAACAGCCTCTGCTCTATGCCCCAACTTGTGCTGAGTGACTCCGGGTACCCAGTGGTGACAGGTGCCCTGGCCCTGTCCTCATGCGGCACTCAGGCCAGTGCGGGGAGACAGACAGTATTTGTGATGTGATTTAACGATGGCGTGAACGTATGCATGATGGGCACAGTATCATGGGAGCTGTAGGAAGCTGTGACTGTGTTGCTGAGTGAGTGAAGGAGCCCATACCCAGCGGGTGTGGCTGTGCGTCACTGTGGATGACTGTCAACCTCTGGGGGAGAACCTCTGGCTCACGGGGCGTGACGCTGGATTGTGGGACTATGAATGAGTATGAAGAACACGTTCAGTGCGGCACAGTATGTGAGATGCTGTGCCGTGCCTCTCTGTGGCTCAGAGTATGGGGTCATGCGTGACACTGTGCGTGTGGCCCCGCGCGTGGTGGCTGGATGGGACAGGTGGGACAACGTGAGGGGCTGTGCGCCCTGGGAGGGGGGTCCTCAGGATGCTGACTCTGTGACTGCACTCCCCCACGTGACCCTGAATGCTGTGATACTCACAGATGACTGGCCCCCTGCGCCAGGTCTCTGCCCCAGCTCCCCGCTCCTGTTCCTTGGCCCGCCCTGGCCCCGCCCCTACCCCTACCCCAGGCTGTCACCTCCTGCGGAGACCAGGCGAGGCCGTGGAGGCGACAGCGTCAGAAGCAAGTGATTGAGAGGCGAGCTGGGAACAGGTGAGGACTCCCCCATCTTAGCCATGCCCCCGCCCCTGTGTCCCCTCACGTCTCCAGACCCCTCTTGCTCTGTGCCTTTGTCTCAGCTTCTCTGTGCCCGCGGTCTATGTCCTTCTATCTATCTGTCAGTATCTCTGTCTCCACGTCTCAAGTCCCTGTTTAGCCGCTAGTTCTATATCTCTGTCTATTTGCCCCATTCTCTGTGTCTCTCCATGTCTCTACCTCCTCTGTCTCCTAGTCCACATTTTCGTCTCTGTCTTCCTCTCCCTTTTGATGTCTGGTCTCTTGTCGTGTCTCATTCTGTCTGTCTCTGTGTCTCTCAGTTTCTATGTTTGTCTCAAGCATTTCTGACTCGTGTGTTTCTGGGGTTTCAACCAACATCCTCCTGTTTCCTCCTTTCCCTGCGTGGTGCCGGATGTGGGGTGTTGGGGGGGGTAGACTGATTTCCAAGCATCTGGGCCCCTCACCTTTCTATTCCCTAAGGAGAGCTATTGACCCATTAACTCTGGGTTTTATCCACAGCTGGGAAAGTTTGATAAGGTCGGGTTCCTATCTGTGATTTGAAAACCCTTTGAACTGGGAGAGTGGGAAGTCCAAGAGTCACTTTGAGCTACATGTCCTCCTCTCCAAGGTGGTCCCCAGGTTCCCCCGAATCTCTAGGTCTAGACTGCGGGTGACTCTGGAGCTTCCCGTCCAGCGCAACTCTAAGGCAACCACACCCTCTGCAAACACCCCCCCTTCCATCACCGCTGCCCCAGCAACAGCCGGGGGTGGGCCGGGGAATCAGGTGTTGGAGATTGGTCTCCGCCCATTCCTCAAGACTCACCCCCCCCCGACCTGGCCCCAAATCATCACTCGTAGTTGTGGGGGGTCGCTGTCTCCGGGGTATGTGACTCCCTGAGCGGAGGGCGCTAGGGCTGGGAGAGGAGGCAGAGGCTCCTGATTCTGCCTCGGACCCCCAGACCCGGCTGCCCTTGCGTGACCGGACCCTTCGTTCTCCATGCCCTGCTGCCCACATGATGCCCACCTGTCCACCCTGGTGGCCGCTGCTTCTGCTCTCGCTGTGGGAGCCGCTGCTCCGGAGCGCGGAGGTGAGAACCAGAGGAGCCCGGGGGCTCAAGGCTTGGGAGGGATGTTGGGGCCGGTTTTAAGTCGTATCCCACTGGGAAGATTGTTTCAAGGCTCCCCACCTGCCCAGATTCAAGTTTTGATGGTTGTTTCTAGTCCTTCTTCTTCCCCAACTCCCCGCAAATCTCCTTATAATTTCCAGCCACCTCCATCTCCTAATTTTCCTGAAGGTTTTTAGTTCCCCACAGCAACTCCCCTGGTGGTTTCTAGGCACCCCTCAAGACTTAAAAGAGGTTTCTAAGCCACCCAAGACGCCTGACCAAAACAGGACAGCCGCTCCAAGACCCTCTAGGGTGTCTCTGGCCCTCGGGGATCTTGCGGCCTGGGAGCTGGGGTCGGGGCTCGGGCCGCGGTGGGAGGGGTGGTCCTCCCTTCTCTCTTTTTGTAGGCAGGCTCTGAGGGGCAGACGGCGGGAGAGCTGTACCAGCGCTGGGAGCGGTACCGCAGGGAGTGCCAGGAGACACTGGAGGCCTCGGAGCCCCCAGCAGGTGTGACAGGGGTGGAGGACTGGGGGCAAGGGAAGGGCTGGGGCTGAGAGGGATGGGCTTGAGGCCGGCTTGGGGCTGACACGCCTCCGAGGCCCGAAAGAGAAGTCTGAGGGTCTGGGGTAAAAGTGGGCCACGAGGGGGACGCCAGAGATGAAGCTTGAAAGCGGAGGGGTCTTGGGCCGGGCTTACACTTGGTGGGTGGGAACTAAAGTGGACGGCGAAGGGGGCGGGGTTTGGGGTGGAGTCTAGGAAGGGCCTTGCCGACTGGGAAGCATCTGCGGCGGGACCTTGCTTGGTGGGAGGAGCACAGAATAAGGCTCGAAAGATGGGCAGGGCCTTGGGGCCTAGTGGGAGGAGCTACGAAGGAGCAGGGACGCGACCACTCCGGGTGGGCGCGGCTCGGGCGGGGCTTGTGAGTGCATGGCCGAGATGCCTTGGGCTCGAGTTACAGCAGGTCTGTCCGAACTCCGGCCCCCACGCCCACTCCAGGCCTCGCCTGTAACGGGTCCTTCGATATGTACGTCTGCTGGGACTACACTGCACCCAACGCCACTGCCCGTGCGTCCTGCCCTTGGTATCTGCCCTGGCACGGCCACGGTGAGCTGCCGGGCGGACCCCAGGCCCACCTCTGACACAAAGACCTACCTCCTAACCCTCATCCCTGACGCCACTCCCCCGCAGCTCCCTGGTCCTCTTGGGCTGGATGTCTCTGTCTGTGTGTCCCTCCACATAACATCCCTCCTCTGTCTTTCTCTGACGACCACCAGGTTATTTTCTCTCCTTTTCATGAGTCTGTCTCTGCACATCTTGGTTTTCCTTGCCTAACTAGCAGTGTGACCTGGGGTTCAACTGCTCAATTGTGTCCGACCCTTTGTCACCCCGTGGACTGCCGCACGCCAGGCTCCCCTGTCCTTCACAGTCTCCCAGAGTTTGCTCACGCTCATGTCCATTGAATCAGTGATGCCATCCAATCATCTCAACCTCTGTTGTTCCCTTCTCCTCCTGCCTTCAATCTTTCCCAGCATCAGTCTTTTCCAATGAAATTTCTTTATGCCTCAGTTCCTCATTTGTGAATTGATGTTTATGACAGTACCAAGTTCATAGGTTTGTTATGAATATTAAATTAGTACATGTAAAATGCTATATTATGGTTTATCATCATCATCACTGGATATCTCTCTCTGCCTTTGTCTCAGTTCATCTTTCTGTCTCCACCTCTCTCTGTTTGCCTCTGATTCCCTCCCTGTTTCCCCTCAGTGGCTAAAGGCTTTGTCCTCCGCCAATGTGGCAGTGATGGCCAATGGGGACCTTGGAGAGACCATTCTCAGTGTGAAAACCCAGAGAAAAATGGGGTTTTTCAGGTAAGAAAAGGAGAAATTTCAGGGTATGATTTCTAGGCAGCAGCGGAAAAGCAGCAGCCTCAGACAGAGCCTGAAACCCCTTGTACCATTCAGGATCCTGGGTTCCAAGTGATAGAAATTCAACTCCTTGCTTGAAGGAGAAAGAGAAAGATATTGGCTTTTGTGATTGAAAATTATAAGGCTACAGCTTCAGGTACAGCTGGATCTAAGTGCTAAAATGATGTAATTGGGAATCTCTCTCACCATATTGTACTTCTGTTTTTCTCTATGATGATGTCCTCTTTTTTTGTGTGTGGGGTGGAAAAGGTGGCCCCCATTGGTTCCAGGCTCACATTCTTACCTACCAAGCAATGCTATCGGCAGACTGAGCTTTTTTCTCAATAACTCCAACTTAATGTCCCAGGACTGACCGTCATTGGCCTGATTTGGAGTAGCATACCTGCCCCTGAGTAATCACTCTGTGTGCGTGTGTGTGTGTGTGTGTGTGCAGTGTAGTGTTAGATAGAATGCTTTGATTCGCTGGTCGCTTGCCCAGTCCTGGACTTGAGGGGTGGAATGCCCCACTCAAACAAAGGTTGATAGATTCCCCAAAAGAAAATTGGGGTCCGAGGAGGAACAAAGAGCAGCTCCTTTATGGCCTGAGGGCAGGAGTTGAGCTCTATTTCTTTTTAAAATTTATTCATTAATTTTTGGCTGCACCAGGTCTTCACTGCTTTGTGCAGGCTTTCTCTAGTTGCAGTGAGTGGGGTCTCGTCTTAGTTGTGGCGTGCAGGCTTTTCGGTCCGGGCTCAGTAGCTGTGGCTTTCAGGAGCTGAGCTCTATTTCTGTGTCCTCTTCCCCCACCTCCACCCCCAGGACCAAAGGCTGACCTTGGAACGGCTGCAGGTTGTGTACACCGTGGGCTACTCCCTGTCCCTTGCCACACTGCTGTTCGCCTTGCTCATCTTGAGCACCTTCAGGTGGGAACCCCCCCAACCCTGCACAGAAACAGCAGAGACTGGGCTTCAGTTTTCCCAGAAAGATGGGGGTAGTCAGGCTCCACTGGCAACAAGTATCCAGTGGTGGTTCTGTGGGGAGGGCTGGGACATAGTTTAAGGGACTCTGTGTGGCCAAGGAGAGGCCCTCAGACTGCCTCCCAAATTCCCCAGGCGGCTGCGCTGCACTCGCAACTACATCCACATCAACCTGTTCACGTCTTTCATGCTGCGGGCAGCTGCCATCCTTACCCGAGACCGTTTGCTTCCTCCCCCTGGCCCCTACCCTGGGGATCAGGTCCTTACCTTGTGGAACCAGGTGAGCGCATCCTTCTCTTTCTCAAATTGAGATTCTGCCTCCTCTGGTAGGGCCAGAGAGTTCCCATTCCATTTACTACCTCCTAGCCTATCAGTCGGAGAAGGCAATGGCACTCCACTCCAGTACTCTTGCCTGGAAAATCCCATGGAAGGAGGAGCCTGGTAGGCTGCAGTCCATGGGGTCTCCAAGAGTCGGACACGACTGAGCGACTTCACTTTCACGCACTGGAGAAGGAAATGGCAGCCCACTCGGTATTCTTGCCTGGGGAATCCCAGGGACGGGAGCCTGGTGGGCTGCCGTCTATGGGGTCACACAGAGTTGGACACGACTGACGTGACTTAGCAGCAGCAGCAGCAGCCTATCAGTGGGCTTCCCTGGTGGCTCAGAACGTAAAGAGTCTGCCTGCAGTGCAGGAGACCTGGGTTCGATCCCTGGGAAGATCCCCTGGAGAAAGGAAAGGCCACCTACTCCAGTATTCTGGCCTGGAGAATTCCATGGACTGTATAGTCTACGGGGCCGCAAAGAGTCAGACATGACTGAGCAATTTTCACCCTATCAACCGGGCTTCCCTGGTGGTTCAATGGTGAAGAACCTGTTTACCAATGCAGGAGACATGGGTTCGGTCCCTGGGTCGGGAATATCCCCTGGAGAAGGAGATGGCAACCCACTGCACTGCTTTTCCCTGGGAAATCCCAGACAGAGAGCCTG